GGAGGGGTGGCAGTGTGTGAATAGGGTGGGAGGGCTGGAAGGAAAGTTTGAGGGTGTGAGGGGGGCGGTGTGGGGATCCACGAGGGGAAGAGGTGAGGAAGGGGTGGGAGGAGTACGGGGGGTGTGTGAGCCTGATGGGTGAGGCAGCAGCTGGAGGAGGTGGGCACGTAGTGCTGAGTGCTGTGCCCAGCCCTGGGCCTCCAGTATTGCACAGAGCTGGGAGGTGGCACAGTGCTGCTGTGATGCTGCAGGGTCTGGGACAGCTGAGCTGTGAGGAGAGGCTGAGAGCTGTGGCTGCTTAACGTGGAGACTCGGATCCTGCTCGTGTCCATAAATTCCTGATAGGAAGTGCAGAGAGCATGGAGCCTGGCTGCTGTCGGTGGTGCCCAGTGCCAGGGCAGAAGGCACAAACTGGGACACAGGAGGCTCCAGCTGACCGTCAGGAAGCACTTCTGTGCTGGGCAGGTGCTGGAGCATTGCCACAGGAACCCCGAGATTGTGGGTGTCTTCCTTGGGGATCTTCAAAAGCCACCTGGACGTGGTGCTAGACGTCCCAGCTGGAGCAAGAGTTTGAGCAGATGGACCCAGAGGTCCTTTCCAGCCTCAACCCGTCCTTTTGTGACTGTGTGTTTGCTTGCACTTCAGGTGGTTTATATTTTTGAGAGATTAATTAAGGGAAAGAGCTTCAGACCCTTAGATGTTAAGGTGTGGTTTAGGCAACAGGGTATAGTAGGGCAGGAGATTTCAGAAGGAGCTGAATGTTGGGGTTTGAGTTCCATGTAATGTGCATTATGTGTTGTAGTTGACAGGAGTATGTCCGGACATAATTTGTGATGAAAGGTTTTATATTTACCTCCCTTTGATTATGAGTACAAAGCCTATAGGCTTCATTCTGGCCTATCCGCAAACCTTGTTTTAAAGGTTGTCATCCATTGCTTTCAGATGGGGTTTTTTATTCAGTGCTAAATCTGAAGAGATGTTGTTAGCTAAATCTGACTGCTTCAGGAGTCTCCTGGGTGGTGTGTACTACAGCTGCAATAGGAAGATCAGAAATTGACAGAATAGTTGCAAGTCTTTAGGTTTGCAGCTGGCCTTTGTTTAGAGAAAAGGGAAATGTGATTCTGAACAGGGAGAGAAAATGAGTGCTAATGAGAGGGACTGGTGGCAAGATGTTACCCGTTTGTGCTGTGCCATTCTTAAAAGAAAACTTCTGCTCATGAGGGTTAGTTAAAATAACTTCCTAAAGAATATTATTTTAAAAATAATCCCCCACTGCATCAGCTACTTACTGGTGTGTTTGCTTTCAGAGCCTTTCACGTGGATTCCAAGTACAGAAATTAAGGCAGGAATTTCTTTAGAAGTGTGATGCTAGTGAGTTGGATCTAATCTTCTATGGAGGAGCTTGCATAACAGTAAGAGATCTGAGTCGAGCTGCCTTAATAATCCCTAGGTAGTCACTGGGGAGAATGAGCTGCTGCTTAGGGAGTGAGGGATGGAGGAGCTGCCTTCTGGAGTTCAGTTAGGTGCCTGCTGTGGGAATGGCCTGAGGAGTCCTGTTTGCTGGAGAACTGCTAAATAATACTGCTTGGGGGAGTATTGAACAGTTTTCTACTGAAGTGTAGGATGTGCAGGTGCTTTCATATCAAGAAAATAACATGCAATGCTTACTTCAGTTATAAATTACAGCTTGTTCTTTACTAGCTTTGTGCCACTAAAGTTGCTGGGCTCCAGTGGGTGTTGGTGATTCATATTCTGGAAGATTTGATATGTGCTTAATCAAAAGGCACAAAGACGTTGTCAGAGTTCAGGACCTGAGTTCAAAGGGCTGCCACGTAAAGTCCAGTGCAGATACTTTGGGCAGCTAATCATACGCAAACAAAAAGGGGCCAGAGAAGGAAATGCTAAGTCAGACTGGAATAACAGGATCACAGATTGACTCAGTTCTGTGTCCACCTTGATCGGACTGGTACGTTATGAAGGTGTTTTCTTCCCAGGGAGAGTGGTGAGACATTGGAATGGGCTGCACAGGTATGTGGTGGGGTCCCTATCCCTGGAGGGATTTAGGGGATGTGTGGACATGGCAGTGAGGGATGGACGTGGTGCAGTGACAGGACTTGGTGGGTCGGGTTGGTGGTTAGACCTGGTGATTCTGAAAGCCTCTTGTAACCTAGATGATCAGAGGGCTGGAGTACCTCTCCTATGAGGAAAGGCTGAGGGAACTGGGCTTGTTTTGCTTGGAGAAGAGAAGGATCCAAGGAGACCTCATTGTAGCCTTCCAATAGTTGAAGGGAGCGTATAAACAGGAGGGAGAATGGCTGTTCATGGAGGATGGATAGTGATAGGACAAAGGGGAATGGTTGTAAACTGAGACAGGGGAGGTTAAGTTGGATATGAGGAGGAAGTTTTTCAGCCAGAGGGTGGTGAGGCACTGGAACAGGTTGCCCAAGGAGGCTGTGGATGCCCCATCCCTGCAGGCATTCAAGGCCAGGCTGGATGTGGCTCTGGGCAGCCTGGTCTGCTGGCTGGTGACCCTACACATAGCAGGGGGTTGGAACTGGATGAGCATTGTGGTTGTTCTGGCTCTCCTCTTTCAGCAATGCCTGCATTGCAAGTAAACCCCTGAATCACTGAAAAGCCTGTGTGTTCTTTTTATTTTTAAGCCTCTCAGAAGTCTCTAGAAGTAAAACCTGAGAGTGGCACACAACTCTTTGCTTTGGTGAGATGCAGGGTGTTAGCTGAGCAAACATGCCTTCAGGCCGTGTGGATGGGAGGTGTGGAATCAGTGAAGGCATCTCCAGCCATTTTGCTCTCAGATGTCTTAAGGTTTGAGCCTCCTTATCTGTGCTGGGGTTTGTAGACCTAGAATCACTGCATGTGCTTCATTTCCTTAGGCAGCAAAGCTAAAAAATTCGCAAGGAAGTAGATTAAAAATAATAATCCAACCTGCTGGAAGAATACAGCAATGATAGTAAGTTAGAACAGCTGCTCTGTCCTCTGGGGGAGCCTTGGCTCCTTTCTTTGCAGTAGTCTGGCATTTAGTTTGGAAGTGTGCCTGATGGTGACTGATAGATCTCACAGCAGAGCATGGAATCCCTGATTGCCAGCTTTCTGAGCACCTGACACCCTGCTGCATGAGGCCTTGTGCACCTTGGGGAGCTGTGTACTTAACTACAGGTGATGTTTTCTGTAGTGGTAGACATATATTTTTAAGCTTAAACTCTGGCTGCTGGTGGTACAGTGAGTTGGAAGATACCTGTTTAATAAATGTGTTGTCTTTCTATTTTGTTGGTCATCTCCTGGCTGTATCTGAAAGATAAATGAGAACGTTCAGTGCAGTCCCCACGTGGTGTTTGCCAGATGGGACATTGCTGAGCTGTACATTGCCAACCATTAATCAATGGCTTCAAGCTCAGGAGGGGTAGACTTAGATTGGATATAAGGAAAAAGTCTTTTACAGTGAGAGTGCTGAGGCACTGGCACAGGTTGCCCAGGGATGGGTTGATCCCTCATCCCTGGAGACTTTCAAGGCAAGGTTGGACCAGGCTTTGGGCAACCTCATCTATTTGTGGTTTTCCTGTTCATTGCAGGGGAGTTGGACTGAATGGCTTTTAAAAGTCCCTTCCAACTCTAAGGATTCTATGATTCTATAAATTGTAAAGCAGCACTGGTCTGTGTGACCATGCTTAAAAGGTGACTTGTTAACATTAATACTTCCAAGTTGGCAATTTTCTTTTGTGTTCTCGTTTCACTTCTGTGCTAAAGCTGAAGCAGTTTTCTGTAGTGCTCCATCCTTGCTATTGCCACACACTGGATGTGAGTATGTGATGTCTCGAGTTGACGTGCAATCATTCTGATTATTGTTGAAATTCATTCTAATGCACGCTGAAGTGAAGTTGGCAAGCTTAGTTTGATTTTACAACTAAAAAGTGGTGGAAAGGAGAACTCAGCTCCTAGGAGACGATAGGAGCACTGCAGGCAAGGGGGTTATGAATGGCTGTAGGGAACATTCTTTGCTCTCTTACCTCCTTAGGCAGCAAAACCACTTGAGAGATACCTTTTAAAGACACTTGGAGCATTGGAAATGATTTTTTGATACAGGCTGCTTAAAGCTGTCATTCCCCCTAACAAGAATTTGACTTCACAGTGATGTTTCTGTTTTGTTTTTTTTCCATCTAATGCTTTATTTATGTAGTTTGCCTGAAGCAGAGTGAACGCCTTTTTTTATTTCTCATGTTATTTGTGGTAATCTCTTAATGTCTGCAGATTTAGAGGTGCTTTACAGCAAGCTGGGATAACTTGAAATCAGTGGTTATGGTATCAAAAGTACTTTGCATGTCGTTTCATAGTAGGTGATGGGAGTGTCTCTGAATGCATCTAGGAACTGATGTATTGGTGAAGAAAATGAGCTTGTTTTCCTTAAGGCAAACTGCTTTTGAGGATGTGTTCACCCACTGCACAGCAGGTTTTGCATATTTATACAGACAAAGGCTGGTTAGTGAGTTATCTTAAATCTCCCTGTGATTGTCTTTCAGAGGTGATGGCAGCTGCCCTGTTGGTCTTCCAGCATCTTGTGCTGAGTGCTCATGGCGTGTCCAAAGGACAGATCTCCTGTGTGATCTGAATGTACCAGGTAATTTCCAGTAATAGCTTATGGTGGGAGATTGTGACCTGAAAAAGAACAAGAAGCCAAGAGAGGGCAATGTTTGTTCTATATTTATCTGTAATTGCTTCTCTAAAAAGAGCATGCCAGGCTATAGCCATTTTTACAAATGTCTGTGTTGCACTGGAAAATCAGGCTTCGCTGAAGCACGAACACAGAATCACAGAATTGTCAGGGTTGGAAGGGACCTCAAGGATCATGAATCTCCAACCCCCCTGCCACATGCAGGGAGAACACAACTGCAGGCCTAAAGAAGCTGCAGTGTTCTTAGGAGTGAGCTGGCTTCTGTGAATACAAAGAACTTAACTCAGCCTTTCTGATGCTTTAGGTGAAGTAGAAGGAGGGAGAACAGTGGACATTTTCACTATTTATTCCCCACCTCATCTGTTTGAGAGAGGCAACAGATGGACACAGCTCTGACCTTTGGGGATACTTTGACTGCTTTTCAGCAGCAGTGCTGTTAAAAGAGGATTTGTTGGGAGTGGTGGTAAAGAGCATTTTGAGATGTGTCTGTCTTGTGTAGCAGTTTGTAAAGATCTGAGGTAGCATCCACTGCTGTATCTTTAACCTGAATCAATGATTTGTTTTCAGGTCGTCCTCATGAGTACTCCAGTGGAGGATGTCCATGATCTTCTTTGCCTGTGTGGTGCGGGTGAGAGACGGTCTTCCCCTCTCAGCCTCCACAGACTTTCATTTCAACCAGGACTTTTTGGAATGCAGAAAGAAATTGAAGGCATTGTCCTCAGTTCTGGCACGGTATCCAAGTCGAGGCACAGCAAAAGGACGTGACCTGAGCATACAGTGAGTCCCTGCCTCAGCTGGTTTGTTTTCTGACTTCAGTTGTTTAAGATGGTTGTGCTGGAGGTTAGTTGAACTTTAAGGATGAGGTGTGTTCTGTGAAACCCTATGGTGTTGTGTCTGGATTATAACCTCCTAACTGTATTTGGAAACTGAATTTCACCGTGCCAGAGCCATGCAGCTCCTACTCAGTTTTGTAAGCATATGTTAAGAGCTGCTTAGTTTGGTTGTCATTTTTTTGTAGCAAACCCTTTCTGCTTGATGGGTGATAGTTGTCACTGTTGGCAACTGCAGTGGATTGGACCTCTGAGTCTTGGTGCCTCAGAATTAACTAGCTTTATCTAAAACTGAGCCCAAACCCCATTCTTTGCTGACAGTCAGATCTTCCTGAAGGCTTCTCAGTAGATGATCTGCTATGATGTGATCTGCTTGACCTAGAAATCCCTGGGTTCTTCCAGTTCTTATCCTGACTTGCACTGATCTGCCTACAGTGGCCTGGAGCTGTATGGAGAAATGAGAAATCTCAGCCTTCTTCTGTCAGTGAAGGATTTGCTAGTCTTTATTTCAAGAAATCAAGGTTCTATTCAGAGAAATTTTGTTTCCTGTTCAGTTTAGTTTTAAAAATGAGTTTTAGTTTGTGATTGCAGGAAAACTTACAGTGATCCTGAGCTTGAACTGTGTCTCTTTCAGAGGGAGTTACTGGGGAAACCAGATACATAAGCTTGAGCTGAATAAATTAGGAAATCAGAGATTATCTTTTTAATTCCTTTTCCTTCAGGTTGTGTTTATACTCTTTAGTAGTAACATGTTCTGCTGATAAATAGGAATGTGATGTAACAGGAGGGGAAATGACTGTTTATATGGGTGGATAGTGATAGGACAAGGGGGAATGGTTTTAAACTGGGACAGGGGAGGTTTAGGTTGGATATGAGGAGGAAGTTTTTCACCCAGAGGGTGGTGAGGCACTGGAACAGGTTGCCCAAGGAGGCTGTGGATGCCCCATCCCTGCAGGCATTCAAGGCCAGGCTGGATGTGGCTCTGGGCAGCCTGGCCTGCTGGTTGGTGACCTGCACATAGCAGGGGGTTGGAACTGGATGAGCAGTGTGGTCCTTTGCAACCCAGGCCATTCTATGATTCTGTGATTATTGTGGGGATTGTGGAAGTTTAGCTGTCTACCCTGAGTGCTGACACTGGAACAAGGTACCCTGACTCCCATGTTTTATGAAGTCCAGATGAGAATGATTAATTACACAGCTATGCCTTGCTCAGATGAAACGCCTATTCAGTGTCCTAGTAGGTTTGGGGGAATCTGTAAGTGGAAACTTGGATACATAAACTTCTATTTACAGAATCACAGAATTGCCAGGGTTGGAAGAGACCTCAAGGATCATGAATCTCCAACCCCCCTGCCACATGCAGGGCCACCAGCCTCCCCATTTAAAACTGGACCAGGCTGTCCAGGGCCCCATCCAATCTGGCTGTGAACTCCTCCAGGGATGAGGCATCCACAACCTCTCTGGACAGCCTGTTCCAGCACCTCACCACTCTCTCTGTAAAGAACTTCCCCCTGACATCCAACCTCAATCTCCCCTCCCTCAACTTCAGACCATTTCCCCTTGTCCTGCAGTTATCAACCCTTTCAAAGAGTTGATTCCCCTCCTGTTTGTATTCTGGTCAATTCTGGATGAAGATTTTTGTTTTTCTGACAGAAGATCATCTTGCTTTGTTATAGATCACTTAGCATTAATAGTATTCTTGGTTTTATGCAAGTGAATGAATACCTCTTAATATGAAGTCACTGCATTCAAGGGGCATGAGGAATACACCTGCTTGCTTCTGGTGAGCAAGCTTCCTTGTTTCTGTTTGTGGAAAGCTACTGTGCTTTCTTCCTAAATTTTCTTCCCCATGATGTTTTCTGAATTGTCCCAGCACTGTCCAGACCAATACATCCCTCACACTCTGCTCACTCAGTCACTGTAGTCTGTCCGTACATTTTGTTTTGATAGAAAGTACAGCTGACTTCTCACATTCTGAATGACCCTTCTACCTTTCTATGTTGATAATCCTTTTTTTTTTTTTTGTTTAATATTTCAGTTTCCTGTCTTCTGGGGAGATTGCCTGCATGGCCATCTGTTCCAGCAGTTACTCGACCATCATGGCATTTTGCTTCCTGGAAGAGCTTCAATGGGAATTTGCTGCCTCCTATGACACAACAAGCATCAGTTTAGCTTCCAGACCGTATGCTTTTCTTGAATTTGGTTTGTAGCTTTGTTCTCTACTAAGAATTTATTGTTTGATACTTTAATGATGTTAAATAATGTCTCCTGGCCAAAGTTTGGTCATAAAAATGAGTCTGTGTGTGTGTGTGCCTTGGCATGCATGTATAGGAGAAGAGGGAGACTTTATAAGTGCATTGAACTATTAGATTATTGTTCTTCCAGTCCCTGATAATAGATGAGTAGAATGTAGTGCTGCACAGAAGAACAAGAAATCCACATCTCAGACACTTCATAATGTAGTCACAAGGAATCTGATGGGTGAAAACAGATGGGTATAGGGGAAGAGGAAGACAAAATAGATTGTTAGGGACACATTAACTTCTGATATGACTTAGATTCATGTAGTGCTTCATAATGGGCTTGTTCAAGCTGGAGAAGAGAAGGCTGTGGGGTGACCTCACTGCAGCCTTCCGGTACCTAAAGGAAGCCTACAAACAGGAGGGGAGTCAACTCTTTGAAAGGGTAGATAACAGCGGGACAAGGGGAAATGGTTTGAAGTTGAGAGAGGAAAGATTGAGGTCGGACGTCAGGGGGAAGTTGTTTGCTGTGAGAGTGGTGAGGTGCTGGAACAGC